GGTGAATAAAAACCGAGACGAAGTCGAGGTTTTTATTCACGATAATCACCGAGCCTGAGGTGAATAATTGTTTTAGTATAATTTCATAGGTGATTATTTGGAAAAAAATATAAAAAAATACATATTTCTTCGTCACTTAATTGACAAAACGGCTTCGGCCGCCATTTTGAAAATCGCTTAGGTGGTTATCGCGTAATAATCACCTCAACGGCAACCAATCAGCGTGGAGAATTTTCAATAATCACCTATATAATTATACTAATTTCTATTATTGTTCAATGTACTATTTCTTTACATGAACATGACAAATAAATCTCGTATCTGTAGGTGTATTTTGCATGAATTGGAAAAGAGCGGGAAATTTTGTAAAATTCAGTATTTTGCTTTGGCAATGGCTTCTGCAGCTCGTTTTGCATCGGTTTCAACAGAGCAAATTGAAAAAATAGTTCAATACAAAGATTCTGAAAATTTAAAGATTCTGAATAATAAAAGAATTATTGAATTCCGTTTACGCAGGATATCAGAATTATTAAGACCTCGGTCAGCATTATCCACCTCAGCCTCGCTTCGGCAGATAACATTGACCTCGGTCTGAATACTTCTGATATCCTGCTCACGGCCTCATCCAATAATTCTTAAATGTGTGAAGACGCCGTTGCCTGGAGTTTTATATGAAAATGAAACAATACCATGTCTTTTCTTTTCATTTGGCTCTTGTCCATGATTTCAGTAACCCTACATATATATACAACACTGCAAACAAAGAAAGGTCAAAGGTGCAAAGCATTGGAAACCTTTAAGGAATTGAATGTTTACGACATATTGACGTAATACGAATTTTCTACGCGATTTAAAATAGAAACGTTTATTGTTCTATTAAAGGTTCAGTGACATGTCATGGTGATAAAGTGAAGAATGCCAACTGTCCTAAAGATCAATACATGGTGGTCAAGTTTGCATCTTGTCGTGGATTGCTTGCACCAAAAACATGTGGTTCAAGTGATGATTATAGTTGTGAAGTTGATGTAACATGTCGTGTTAAGAAACAATGCGATGGTCTACATGAGTGTAATATAACTGTGGATGACAATTTGTTCTCTGTTGATCTATGTCCTGGATTGTCAAACTATCTTTACTTTGAATATCAATGTATTGATACTGTGAAACCTTACAAAGAACCTTGTGGTATGCATGGGTATAAGTATGATAATTCGAGTTGCGCACAAGACAGGACCATGGTGTTTAAAAATGTTGAACTTCGATTTTGCACACACTTGTCACGTGCATGTTACCCACGTAATAGAAAATATCCATTATAGCCTTACATGGCAAAATAATCAGTAACTTAAGTTGTTTTTTTCGTGTTTTGTAGTTCATGATGTGTCTCTATCAAATTCATCTCTACCTTACGAAGGTCTTGTACAAATTACCACTGATAGTGGGACCAAGAATGTTTGTTGGGAAAGTTTACAACAAAATCACAGGGCCAAGGAGACTGTTTGTCGTCACCTGGGATACAGTTATGGCGCATACTTCCTTGTTAAAATAACCACTCCACCGGATGCCAAAAATGCAACATTTTCTGGAAGTTTTGACTGTAGTTATCGAGACAGATACTTATCCCAGTGTTCAATTAATTCTTCGGCTAGCGAAAGTTGTTCTGAGTTAGCATACATACAATGTAAGTGTGACAAGATGAAACGAATAGAATGCAGAGATAAAAGAAAGTAGTAAAAGATATAAAAAGAAATAGAAAATAAATAAATAGAGAAAGAATGAAAGAACAACCTTATTGGGGTCAATCTGATCGTTCATGAAAATTTAGAATGCTTAACTTTTTATATTTTAGGTGGTCAATGGGTGTATCATAAACGGAAATATAAACCACTATTACAAGATAAACGAAGGTTTCCAGATTCGTCATTTAGTGCTTCTGCTTCTTCAGAAGGTCACAGTGCTTTTGATGCAAGAATATCTAGTGGTAGTTCTTGGTGTGCTCCTGTCTCAAATGACACGCATTATCTTCAAGTGGACTTAGGAAAACAGTATGAGATCTCTTATCTCGTGACATATGGTGACAGTACCAGCCCAAAATGGGTGACCACGTATATACTGCATTACACCATTGACTTGAACTGGAAAACCAAAGGGGTGAGAAGGAATGATATAACTAAAAAATGATATCATAGCATGTACTTATTTAGCATATTGTTGTGACTTCTTTTTGTTAACGATGCATCTCTCACCATTCTTGTTGTAGATACGTCGAGGAAACAAGAATGCTTACGATCTTGCAGCTTGGGAATATTTATATTATATTTACGCAAGAGCATTACGATTCATTCCATTGACATACGTAGGTCAACCGTGTATGAGAATTGAGATTTGGGGTAGAAGTAAGTGTTTGTTTGTTTGTTTGTTTGTTTGTTTGTTTGTTTGTTTGTTTGTTTGTTTGTTTGTTTGTTTGTTTGTTTGTTTGTTTGTTTGTTTGTTTGTTTGTTTGTTTGTTTGTTTGTTTGTTTGTTTGTTTGTTTGTTTGTCGGTATGTTAATTCGATCCTCCTTTTACAAAAACAATTTATTACACACTCAAAAATTATATTTTATACTTTTTCTTATAGCTATGTTACCAGACGAACCAACAAACCTCACCGTCACTAACATCACGTCTAGAAGTGCTGAAATATCTTGGCTAGATCCTAAAAATCGAGGAATATATGGTCTTTCACGCTTTCGAATTAAACTGAAGAAAGAAAACTCTCTAATCTCAGTCAGCATTACAGGGAAAGTGAATGAATATAAAATAAATAATCTCACTCCGTATACTACTTATGAAATATATGTAGCTGCTGGAAGTTATTCTAGCTTTAGATTTGGTGAATTTGGTGAAGAGAGTATTACTTCGTTCCTAACATCTGAAGTAGGTGTGTATTAAAAGATATGCGTTATTGCGTTTTTCTGCAAGGCGAAACATGGTTCCTTTGTACACTCGAAATGTCTACTTCAGTTAATACATAAAATTTCAATAAAAGCATCTGTTTATATATACACTTTAGCTCCAAGCGGTCCACCATTGAACATCACAACCACATCAAGAAGTGCATCGTCATTGTCTTTCACTTGGGATCCTCCTGACACAACTAAACAAAATGGTGTCATTATCAGTTATACAGCGTGTGTTTCACATTCAGAAAATGGTGCTTGCTTTCAGACATTTGTCACAAGTGAAAGAAAGTGGCTCGTCGGAAATTTGAATCCATTAACAAGATATTATGTTCGTATTCTTGCAAGTACTAAAGTTGGTCATGGAAACTACAGTGAAAGTGAAGGATTTTTTACGAATGGAAGTAAGTACAACACACATGTCGTATATCGTATATATATCGCTATTTTCCGGTTTGTGACCCTAAAAAAATGTCTGTTACAATTTGGCTTAGTCATTTTATGTCGTTTTAGTAAAGAGTTGTTCCAATCGCATTTAGCACATAAAAAGATAAGATATAGACAACATCACTGCCGAATCTGAATAAAGATCTATATTTTACGTTTTGATATTTGATAACAGTTCACTTTAATTTTTCCTACAGAACCGGCTGAAGAGGCCATTGCTGAAACATCAAGTACACTGACATTTTCATTGAAAATTCCATCAAAAACGTTTGTGTAAGTATATTTGACTTTTTCATGCAAAAAAATAGTTAATAATTATTATATAATATATCATTTGGTTTATATGAAGAAGGCAAATTTTGATTGATAGATATTTCTACGTGGTGGCTTTGAAATTAAAAGATGGCAAAGAGCCTGCATCATCTGACAGTTACGAGGACAACGAGTTAGTGACGTATGCCGAGGCGGAAAAATCGAGCAATCCGAAACCTTATATTGCCGCAGTAGTTACATCCAGCGGTGTTGATGGAAACATGTTTGTACTTGGTGATGGCAGAAATACAGATGATTCAACTTCACGAAAACGGAGGTCAACTACAAGTGATTATTTTAATGGTCCGTTGGAGCCTGTCACTAGTTATAGTGTTTTTCAAAGGATTATTATCAATGAAATGGTATGGTATTGGGTGGGGTGTGGGGACAGCGAACTTTCAGTTGAACGCACTGATCTCAAAATTGGGCTGGATTATAGATCCAATAGCGGCCATATCGCCATAGATATTCCGTGGGCATTGCAGGAAAAGTTCAGGCAAACGAAAGGGCAAATTGAAGCTTACTATATAATGGGGGCAAATCTCAGTTGATATACCCGAAACCTAAAACCAAGAAAATTTTTTTTCACCTTTTGGCTGCAATTCAAGTATTCAATCCTGGTTTTATCCACAATCCTCACTGTTTTACATTTATTTGTGGCGAAAAATTAAGCAAATAGACCTTGTGCATAATGACGTCACAAGGCCCGCGAGGAATGCTGGTCTTAATAGTCATCGCCAGAGCAATAAATTATTTTCTTCTTTACTATAGGGTGAATATTACTCCACTGACTGGAGTCCTCCTTCAAAAACGAGTGAAGATACAGGTATATTTCTTCCATGTAATTTGATACTGATTATTAGGTTAGATTATACAATTACTTTATGGTTTCCGTGTTTGGATGGCCTGATCCAAACACGCGGGAATGTTGCGAGAGTTAAGAAAAGCGAGCGAAATCACGAGCCGAAGGCGAGTGAT